TCAAACACTATTAATACAGTATTATGATAGTTTGTGACGAAGAAACGCCAACAGCTATCTCGTCAAAAGACAATATCAGATTATCTTTTTAAGCGATTAAACAACATATAAATGTTTTTATTTTAATGCCATTTTCATCGTATTTTGCAATTAATATATAAAAACGTTTATAATTTTAAATAAAATATTTTAATTTTTCGCGGAAATTTTTGAAATGCCGCGGGTTGCCAATGACGCAATTGTTGACTCACTCTTTCAGAACCAGCGTTATAACGGAATTTTGATGCAGTACATTCACTGGAAGTAAATTTATCATTTCATTGCTAAATGATTCAGCTTCAGTGTTTATTTGATCCTAGTTTTCTGTTAATCAATCCTGGTGTTAAATACGAACTAACCTGCTTCAAAATAACACCATAAAATCAGTTCCCTCAAATCATACTCTAAAAACGGAATCTAAATCTGACGGAAATCACACCCGAAGCATGTAACTAATCACGCAGATTCTTTACGACTACGTTCAATCTCGCAGTCAAAAGCCTAACCTCCAGTTTACCGCAGGTTGAATATAGAAATATTCTTGCCACTCATCAACCTAGTTACTACGGTTTATAAAAACCAATAACAAGTGACTTTGAAAGGGAGTAACTCAGACATTTTTTCACTTGTAAGGAAAGCCTATCGAAGAGGCGAGTACTTTTATTACTCCAGTTCTACAGGAAGGAGTATGAATACCTAAAAATACCGTCAAACAATTAAGTCTGGGAAATTCCGCTGCAGTCTTTCTGCTTGTTTGAATATTCCTTCCTATGTCAGAGAAGGGCACCAAGTGGAACTCAGACAGCTAAGAAAAACTAGGCAAAGTTAATCGACTATGATATTCATATACTTTAAGGTAATTATGCAACTATCAAAACTCCATATAACACATTTGATTATTACAGCCGGTCATACTTCTATGAGAAAACTTCTATCGTGAACGTTGTACTCTGTGACCGGAAGTTCCTGCTTCGGCGCGCAATCGCCCTTCTGCTTTAACACATAGGTAATGTCCACTCCGTACGGCCAGTCCTTGTCGGCCGTAGAGACATCCCACGAGACTTGAACGGCGTCCGAACCACGTTTCTTGAGATCCATGAACACAAGTTCTAAACAGATCATTCAACGGTCATGACGCATTGGCCTTAAAGGAATCGACGGTCGTGACGAACCTGGAACTCCAGGAACAACGAACACTTTTTCCGGTGACCATTCGCTGGCCTCGTGTCGTACGTTGTCGGCACCAACCGACTGCGTACGCATCTGAATGGCCCAACGCACGCCGGCTGCGGTCTCGAACCAGTATTCATTTACCTGAAGCGAGGGGCTAACGTCCACGTAACCAGAGTGCGTCGAGTTGTGAAACTTGATCACGTACGTCACATTGTCACAGTTCCACTGGTGTTTTGGAACAGACTAAAAAAACAGTAAAATTCCGTTACGATTCATATTTTCCACAAATGATTAGAAATATTTTGATTTGAAAAGGTGCAAACAGTCAAAATGAGCATGACCTGTGTGCAATTAAAAAGTTTTTCGCGTCTTGACTCAAAGGGTATCATCATTTAATTTCTAAATATTCTGTGGCAGCTAATGCACTTTCTATGTTCGGTGACCCCATGACCTAAAGAAAAGTTGAACTGATAACAATCAGCGGCGCGACAGCCGTTTCTAGAAGAAATGGCCACAAATGATTCCTCCACTGGGCATGACAAGGAAGAAACCAACTAAGCTCAACACCTGGTCTGTGAACCGGCACCCAACGAGAGAAGAATCTCGCAACCCTGAAAATTCATACGTCCCTTGACAGTGTCGAACATTATAAAGGGACATACCTTTTTTTCCTACGTATATTTACGGTTATGTGAATATCTACGTTTATTCACTAATATAAACCATTTCCTGATGAAACCGCAGTCGAGTATTGTAAGTAATTTTATAAAACCCCTGTAACCACTGCCCTTATCATTGTAGAAAAGAAAAATTGACAGGTCTGAACTTCCGCATGTCAAGTTTTGTATAGAATGAATTCCGATGAGAAAGTTCCACGAGAAAAACAAAACGCAACTCTTTGGGTACAGTTACAATTCTAATGATCAATAATGGTACGCCAGAAAGTGCATCTATGCTGACCAAATGTAGTATCGGGCATAAGTAATGATCTACTTTGAATGCCGACTGATGAACACTGTTCATTGATGCCAAATTTTCTTGTATTCCTAATTAAGAAATAATAACAAATGATAACGCAGAATCATCTCAAAGTTTAGTACCGTCTTCCATGCTGTTGAATTATAGTTTTAAAGCTGAAGGCATCTGAATCGTTAAAAGAAATATGTCGACTATATGGCACTAATTTCTGACATCCGTGACGATCAAGAACTGCAGAGACTTCAAAGCTCAACTGGTGAATAGCAGGGTGGTTACAGAAGATCAGTTTTATCAATTGTTTTGAGAAACTCGTTAGATTCGTTTAACATAACAGAACATCTAACCGAATGCACTGATTAGTGAACACTGCAAAGGAAAGAAACAAAGTCTTTCACCGTTGGATTGTCGGTCTTACTTCATTTTTGTGATTGGGCATTTTGGCGTTCTTCGTTACGTGGAACTGATGGTGCGATGCCGAACTCCATTCATATGCCAACCAGGAGACTTATTTTTTAAAGGCAGAGTCTACATCCATGCAGCAGACACTGCATGCAGTCTCCTTTTACTTTTCTACAGAGTAGTACTCATTCATCAACCTTGGAAGTAAGAAGAGCGAGTGACGCCTACCGGGCTTGAACTGAGGACCTATCAGTTCTGAGTTGGACGCGCGACAGACTGTGCAACTTCGGTGAGAAGCAATGTGTAGTAAATTCCTTGCTACAGGTAGTTCATAAATAATGCAAAGATATGCCTCGAGTGAAATCGAACCTGGCATCTCTGCAATGGGAAGCCGACATTTTTCACAACTATGCCACATGCCATGCTTCCAACACGTTTAACGTTGGAACTTTGATCGACTGACAGCTCATCAATGCTATATGTCCACTCTCTGAAATACCTTGAATTCGTTAACGTAGACTGGTCAGATCTTGTCAGCTCAGTGTCTATTAAAACTCAGAGGGCTTCTAAGTACCTCTTCAGGCTGCGTGGACTGCCATCTCTTCCCATCCGTCCTCAAAAGGCAATACCGATTGTTGTCTCTGGCTGGCTTTTACCTTACTACCTTTTTGCCTTTATTTAAGTTGGCCCAGTGGCAGATAGAGGAGAAATGCAGCAAAGACTATAAAGTCATACGGCGAGCTATCCTACTCGCCAGGATCGGTTACATCAGTGAATAAGAATGGAATGGATTACAGTTCAGGTTATAAATTCACGTAACACTGACCAATCATTCACGCAACACAGCCGAAATCACGTTGCAGGCGAAGACATTAGACTTCTGTTCGCATTATTCAGGGCACAGGGAACAGCCACAGTTTGAAGTGAATTATAACTTTTGGGTCGAAGGGTCCTGCGACATCACCCGGAAAGAAAAACTATCATTTTCAGAAAGTTATGCCATAGAACGTATGAAAGTTTTACGATTACCGTGACTATGCTCAACTGAACTGTACATATTTTAAAAACGTCTATATGTTTTCAAATAGCAGAAAGTCGCTGTGCACTGACAGCAACGAGAATCGCATAAAGTAATAAGCTCCTTGTGAACGTCTGAATACTGCTTGTGGTCTACACAATGATTCACCTTTGGAATGTTGACGAGGTACTCTATCTATGCATTTCAAAGATCCAAGTAGGAGATCCCGTACGAAAGCGAAGAGCTACGGAGGGTGCATCCTAAGCAGCGAAAACCTATCAGTAACCGTTAAAAGACAGCAATGGCAAGCGAGGCAGATGTAAGGCAGAGTTTTGTAAGTTTTAAATGCAGTCTATCTGGGAGAAGGATAATCTGACTACAAGTCGAAAACAATCAAAAATCATAATCACACCATCAACCATCTGATTACTATATGACTGTAAAAGGAAAAAACAAGATAAAAGGAACATTTGCAAAAATCTTAACAGTGGCATGGGAGGAAATGATTCATTCGTTTGGATATTCAACACATGAAAACAAGCTAAATGTTTTTGCTCGCATACACATTGATTTTGCCATTGATTTCAATGGAGAATTACACTTGGAAGTCAGGGTATCTGTTTTAAAAAAATCGAAACAAGTCATAGGAGGAAGTACGCAGTGCCATATGGTCATAACAAATAACAGATAACCATTAAAAAATCACTTATCATACCTCCCACCGCACCCTCAGTGCCTTGTAGTTTTCGGAATCGATACGGACATTTCTTGGTGGTTGAGATGGCTCTAGAGACAAGTAAAAGTAGGTCTGTACATTATAGTCCTCTATCACTAATATCGTCGTTACTTCCACAGGGGGTCAGAGCGCGCAGTTGTGGCCCGGGCAAGCCTTGACGATCGTTGGCGTCCACCAGCTTCACTCGGAAGTAGTAAACCTTGTTCGGCTGCAGGTTGCTGACCTAAAAAAATAACCGGCGGTAAAGTTTCTACTTTTGCGTGATATGCATACTGTTGAGCTGACGAGCTGCCCACTCTCGGAGTCCTTGGCCACCGGAATCATATCACCATGTTGGACCCATTGCGAGTCGCCGCCTACGTTGTACTCCAATATGTATCCTTTGAGGTTCCTGTGTTCCTTCGTGTTGATGCCGTCCCATATCAACGTGATGCTATTCGAACCAACTAAGGATATTTTGATCGGGCTTTCCATAACGGGGATTTCTGAACAGGCATGAAATGGACGAATGCGAACACAATGCTGATCATGGCGTACCTGCTTGCCGAGTCTTCACATACCACGACTTGCTCCAGTCGCTCCATCCTCCGCCCTCCGTGTGCGCCGACACCTGTACGACGTACTGGCGGTCCGGCTCAAGGTCTGCTAAACGGTAACACAGACGGCCGTCGTTCGATTTCTCTTCGACGCATGTCAGGTCGATGGCGGGCTTCCGTACTTCATACCATGAAATACGGTCGATTGGAGTGTGGCGGATGCGGTAGTCGTCGAGTTTTCCATGAGGCGGATGCGGCTGTAGGAAAGACAAAGAGACGGCGTTCGGAAACTCTTGTTCGGTCCTGAGCAATGTAGGTGCAGAGGGTGCTAAAGGAAGTGACTTTTAGAAACGCTTAAATGAATCAAACCTGATAATAATCGAAAACAGCGTAAGTAACGGCGGTACCTTTCGGTTACAGGGAGCTGGTTCTTGAAAACAGCCATTCACTTATTAAAAGAGAAAAGTTTAGAAAAATAAATTCTGTACTGTTTATATTTTAATATATCATACACAATTAAAAATTAAAAACCAACTATTCTATGAAGGAAATATTTAAACTAGTTTTTATTTCATCCAGTCAAATTTCTTCCAATACAATCAACGATATGCGAGTCTACAAAATGAGTTTCTTTTACAAGCTCACTTTGTTCTTTCAC